TGGATGGATGGATGGATGGATGGATGGATAGGTGGGTGGATGGATGGATGGATGGATGGATGGATGGATGGATGGATGGATAGGTGGATGGATGGATGAATAGGTGGATGGATAGGTGGGTGGATGGATGGATGGATGGATGGAGGAATAGGTAGATGGATGAATGGACATATAAGAGGATGGCTAGCTGGTTGTGTAGGTAGGTGGATGGTTTGATGAAAAGTGGGCAAATAAGCCATTGCCTTGGATTCACTTGTGGTCATCATTGCATTAAAACCTCTGTTGTTCTCCAGATGTTTGAAAGCTTCAGGGGTCCTCCAATCTGGTCAGTGCTCCCCCAGTCCTCAGCATATAGCACAGGAAACAGAGCCACAGTGGTGCCTCTTCCTGGGGGATGTGCTATTCCGAATGTTGCATGATTACGTGTACAGTCTGCCTGGTACACAGTGGTTGACATACACACGAGTACATAAAGGAGCAAGTCAATCAGTAAGTGAGGGCCACGTGAGTCTAATGATGTCTCCTTAATAATCTGTAACCAGTTTCACATGGGTGTCATCGCGTCTTGGTTCTGTAAAACTGCACTGCAGATTACTGCTATTGTTTGGTGCCGGAGCCAAGTCCTGTTCTTAACAGCCTGTTCAGTATTCAGCCCAACCCGACCCTCTTAGGACCGCTGCAGTCATCGCGTCACTCTGTCTCATTCACTTCCTCTCCTTCAGTTACCCTCTGCATTCCAAACAACAGATTAATGAGTAAACACACATAAGACTGTGTGCATTTTGCTCATTGGCTAATCCATTCCCAAGCATGGGTTCCACCTGTGTAAAAAGTCAGGTAGATTTTCCACAGCCTGTGGTGGTTTGCTGCCCTAGAGATGGAAAGATTACGGGACACGCTTTGATCAAACTGTAGGGTTTCTGAACTATAAAAAGCAAGGAATGGAGGAAAGAGAAGTCAAGGAAAGAGAGGCAGTGAGTTTTACTTCCAATTTGAGCAGGAAACAAATGCCTTTATCCTACTGGATATCAATCTTCTATAAGAAAGGAACCAAACTGATGATTTCACGTTTGCTTTCCGTGGCACATGGAGTTATTTTAATTGTTTGAACCTGGAAGAAGGAGTGACATAAGGTCAAGCAGACACGGAGGCTCTTTGCTGTTGCTGCCATCAGGTCAGCTCTGACTCAAGGGGACATTGTAGATTCCAGACCAAAATGCTGCCCAGTCCTGTGAGCTTCCCGGTCATTGCTCTTTGTTTGAGTTTTTTAAATTTTATTATTTTTTGTGTGTGTACCATCAAATCAGATCTGACTGGTACAGGAGGAGGTTGCCCCTCCTTCTTCAGCAAAGCATCTGGTGGATTCGAACCATGAACCTTTGGGATTGCAGTGCAGCTTCTTGCCACTAGGCCACCAGAGCTCGCCAGCTCTTTGAATCTGTTGTCTCACCACATGTCAGTCCATCTCATTTGTCCTTCCCCAGTGGCTCCTGAGAAGAGTGACAGCATCAATGTGGATTTCACGTTTCAAAAATGCCATTCGCAAAAGGATAATTTGTGTATTAGAACTGAGTCTTAAAGCTGAAATCATCTGATCAAAATCATTAGGATCACTGACTACATGAAAATTACAGGCTCTGTTGACTCTCTGTAGTCATGTATGATTTTATCAGACACGTTCTGGAGAACAAGGAGCTCTGATGGGGTGGTAGCACATTACACGATGGGCTGCTAACTGAAAAGTTGGCAGTTCAAACCCACTGGCTTCCCAGGAGGAAAAGAGGAAGTTTTTCCTATAAAGACTGATAGCTGCGGAAGCCCAGGGCAGGGCTGCCGGGGGTCAGAATCAGCTCCACAGCAGCGTGTTGTGTTTTGATTTCCTGGCTGGTACACGACCGTCTTCCTTTGAGTGAAGTCCTAGCCTCTTAACCATCTCCTACGTTTCCACCACCCCTGCCCCACCCACACCTAGAACCCCCGGTTCTCCAGGCCCCTGTGCAGAGGTGTGGGTGAGCCTGTCTGTCCACAACCCTCTCTCATCGTCGGAAAGGCTTCCTGGTTTCACCGTTTATTCTCCTGTTTGCCCACCCTCTTCCCAATCTACTGACCTCCCACCAACAGGATGAGCCCTGCCCACCCTCCTGCACAGGCACAATGTTATGAATCCAGCATCACTCTGTTTGCACAAGTTCACTCTCACCCTAATGCCTACTTTTTCCCCCCACTTGAATGTTTTTATGATCTAATTTCATGGCTAAGCAGCCCCTGTGGCACAACGGTTCAGCCCTCAGCTGTTAACCACAATACTGGTTGTTCAAATCCACCAGTCATTCCTTAAGAGACCCACCTGGCAATCTGCTTCCATAAAGATCTCAGCCCAGGAAAATGAATGGACCAGTCCTACTCTGCCTTGTGGGGTCACCATCAGCCAGAATTACAGATCGATACAAAGAAAGGAAGACAGACAGGCTCACCCACACCTCTGCACAGGGGCCCGGAGAACTGGGGGTTCTAGGTGTGGGTGGGGCAGGGGCAGTGGAAACGTAGGAGATGGTCAAGAGGCTAGGACTTCACTCAAAGAAAAGAAGGTTATTACTTACAAAGTTATGAGTTCTGGCTCACAATGGTGGGAAACTATTAAGGGTAGGTGCACAGCTGATCATCATGGGTGCTGTCGATAAGTTGTACACTCTTAAAAAGTTGACTTGGCAAAGTCGTATGAGAAAAACATTGAAAACAAGAAGAAAGGAGCCACTGAGGCTGCCTAGCTGCACCCACGCACCTCCTGGGATCTGGCTTCTCGCCTTGGAAGGATAAGGCCATGCCCTCATGGGATATCCGAGAGCTCTGGTAGCTTAGTGGCAAGGAGCTGCACTGCCAGTTCAAAGGCATGTGGTTCAAATCCACCAGCTGCTCCATGGGAGAACGATGGGCAATCTCCTCCCACGCAATTTTCAGCCTGGAGGGTCAGCTATGAGTTGATTCCTACTCAACAGAACATAAAAACAATATGCCTAGTGTTTCTGTTGTACTTCCCTGGGTTGCAGTTCCTGGGATCCTGAAAGCTTGCAAGGAACCATCCAAGCCACCAATAATCTCTGCGAACCTGGAGCAACAGAGGAAGAGGAGGAGTTGGGAATAGGAGGATGTGGAATGTGTGGCGAATTGTCCTCAGGAACAACTGCCCGCTTAGTTATGAGACCAAAAGAACCGGATAGTGCCCAGCCATCACTGAATATTCTGATCAAAGATCCTACTGAAGAATCCTGATCAAAAGGTGGAGAATGCAGAACAGAATTCCAAAGGCCAATAGACTCCAGACTTTACTGAGCCATGGAGGTTGGGTAAACGTTGAAATTACTGCACTGAGAAAATATTTTAACATCCCCTGAAGTCTTCTTAAAATCAAACAGTGCTCTAACTAAAGTGCTAAGGGATTTCTGCCGGAAACACCGTTGTTTTTCTTTTTGTTGATCCGACTGGCACAGGAGAAGACTGTCCCTCCTTCGGTGGAGCATCTGGTGGGTTCGAAGATACTGTTCTTTTAAGTCTATCTGGGGTACTCTCCGTCCCTCCAAGCCACAGCCACTGCACTCCGCTGTGACACAGCAAAAGTCACGGGCCTCAT